AGATTTTCGGTGCTGTAGAAGAATTTTTTCAGGCAAGTCTAACTTTCTTCTTTCCTTCGTTTTTCTTTTCTATTTTTGGTTCTTTTTTACCGTTTGACCTCAGCTGCGCAGGTTTTTCGGCCAATAGTTGGGGTATGTCTAACGCCACCCCACGTGTGCTGATTCTTGGGCATTCCTTTATTTAACGTTTGAAGCAGTTCATTACGAACCATCCCGACGATTTTGATCGTGACTTTCAGATCTCGTCGCAAGTGCTAATACGTTGGCATGGCGTTGGGGGTAGAACAGTCGAAAAGACGTTAAAATTCGACAAACTTGTCCTCCATTCCTTTCGCCCTAGTATCGTTATTCTCCAACTAGGCAGTAATGACCTCGTTACTCTCTCGGCATTGAATGTTGGTTCAGCTCTCGAAGAATTTGTCCATTTCTTACACGAGTCATACGGGGTGAAGTTGGTGTTCGTGTGCCAGACCGTTCGCCGAAACTCAGCTGAGGCTTTTAACACAAAGGTCGGCATGTTAACACGATACCTAAGGGTTGTGTTAGACTCTATATCATATGCCATATTCTGGGGCCATTGAGGGTTTTGGAAGGCGAAAGACAATTTTATACACCCGATGGCGTTCATTTGAACTCTAGGGGTCTGCATAAGCTGTATCGTAGTCTCAGAGGGGCAGTTCTGCGATCGATGCTCCTTTCACCACTTTCTCCATCTCTGGAAGGAGTCTGTTAAGATTGCATTCTTTTTCACATGTTTTTGCCAGCTCTAATTTGTGCCCTATGCCGAGCCTTCGATGCTTTACTATCACATTCACCTATTGTTTGTCTCAGCCTTATATATTTACCGTAAGCCATTGTCCTTATTAGGCACGGCTACGTATGACTCAGCTACAAAGCTGTTTGATTACACGACTTATTATACTGTCGTTACTTCGTACGAAACGTATGTACACCTTCTGGCTGCACACGTATACTTATTTTACTGGCTCCGGCTCCAAAGTTAGGTATTGGCTGTTACCACAAGAGTGTACAATCCTTTCCGACCGCTCAGTTTCAGGGGTGTCCTTTGCACTCAGTATTTCGCCTTTACCTTAAGCATGATATTACGTCTGGCGCTATTTCACAGTGATTTTTAAGTTCATTCCCGTCGCTATGGAGTGCATTATTTCCAGTGCTGCCCCTTTGCGATTCACTGTTGATCTTTATTTTACCGTAATCTCGTTTCTGATCAAAGAAATTTTCTTGATAAGCTATGCCACCCAGGAAGCGCGCACATTCCTATCAATCCAACACGCAAAGGAAGAAGCGTGCACATTCCGATCAGTCCAACACGCAAAGGACGATGCGTGCACATTCCGATCAGTCCAACACGCAAAGACGAACGAAACGCACGCGAGGTTCCGACCTTTCAGAGGTTTTTCCACACGTGGCTGTTGCCGCTCAGACCCGGAGGAATGACCACAACCAGAAATTGACCTCCGTTGATCTGCGAGCTCTGTCCACCTCCATCACGACGACCATTTCACAAGCGATACAACGAGCGTTGGGAACCGGAGGGACCCACAGCACAGACCCACAAGACCCCAGAGCACCTTCAATTCTTCCTGTTGAAAGTGATGGGGAGCGTTCCTCCAGCGGGGCCATTCAAGGGGAAATCGCAGCTATCACCCAAGGTACACAGCCTCAGAGTTCCCCTCGGGAGCCATTCTCAAGCATAGCCATAGCTCTCGGCTCTAGAGTCAACCCAAAAATCAAAGCAAAAATTTGGGGCAATAAATATAACAACAACAAACATGATATACGGTAATAAATATGTTGATTTTGGCGGGTTACTTTCATTGTCCCCAAATATCGATCGTTATTCCCTGTCCTTAACGCCCTCAAGTACGTCGTCTAATCAGCCGCAGTTGACACTACAACCTAGCCAGCCACCTAAGAGGATTCATAACCTCAATCAGTGGTTATCAGCTTCTAATACTTTTGTCGCCATTTACAAGGAGAAATATCCTTTGGAGGCTCCTAAGCTAATGAAATACTGTGAGGTCGTGAGGGACATTGCGTCTAAACCTGGCGACTGGTCATTTTATGACGAACAGTTTCGTTTCGTAAGACAGTCAGCTCCGGAACAATACCCCTGGGATACTATTCATTGGGAACTATGGTTAAGGGCAGTGACAACTTTTCGTGCTCGACCCCAGGTCTCTTCTAATAAGGCCTCCACGTGCTCTCGGAACCGCCGGTCGTTTCCGAAGGGAACGTGTTGGGCATTTCACGCCGGGATATTTTGTGGTGGGTGCTGCTTGGACCACGTTTGTTTCAAATGTGGCTTACCCCATCCCTCAAGTCAATGTTCAACCCCTAGTTCGCAACGCGCCCCTCTTGCTCACCCCGGAGCCAAAAGAGCCCACCCCCCTGCTCAGCAGTCCGGTCACCCCCGTAAGGGTGGACAGGCTTGATTTTCTTTTGCACGGTTATGCCCCGGCTATGAAGCAATTTTTGGTCGATGGCTTTTCTTTTGGTTTTCGAATTAAGTTTATGGGGGAAAGGCGGCCTTTCGAATCCCCTAATTTGAAGAGCGCGCGAGAACAACCCCACATTGTTACAGCTAAACTAGACAAGGAGCTCGCGGCAGGCAGAATAGCCGGCCCGTTTCCTTCACCTCCTTTTTCGAATTTTCGCTGTTCCCCCTTGGGCATCGTTCCCAAAAAGGATCCCTCTGAATTTCGTTTAATTCATCATTTGTCCTATCCTAAGGGTTCATCTGTTAACGATCACATTCCTGAAGAATTTTCTTCAGTTCGCTATGCGTCTATTAGCGATGCCATATCTGTCATTAAAAAGTTAGGAGCTGGCTGTTTTATGGCTAAGACTGATATTAAATCCGCATTTCGCATGATCCCGGTTCATCCCAAAGATCATCCTCTATTGGGCATGAAATGGGCTAATCAGTATTACTATGATCGCGCTTTGCCAATGGGATGTAGTTCCAGCTGTGCGATTTTCGAAGCTTTCAGTTCAGCTCCTGAGTGGCTATCAAAACATTTGTTTAATTCTTCCCGCGTTGTTCACATTTTGGATGATTTTCTATTTATTGCCCCTACAAGGGACAAATGTCAATCCAATCTTGATAATTTTCTTCGCATGTGTAGTTATCTCGGGGTTCCAATAGCACAGGAAACAACAGTCGGGCGATTCAACACGATACAGTTCGCTGGTATCACTCTAGATTCGATGCGACGGGAAGCTAGGTTACCGGACGATAAGTTTCGAAAATGTCAGCTGCTATTGCATCACTTTTACACGAGGCGTAAAGTAACGCTTCGAGAACTTCAGTCCTTAGAAGGGCTTTTGAATTTTACATGCTCTGTTGTCGTCCCCGGCCGCGCCTTCCTTCGCCGAATGATCGATCTTACCAGGGGAATCCAGCGCCCGTATCACCGTATTCGCTTGACTAAGGAAACGAAATATGACATTCAGGTTTGGCTTTCTTTCTTACACCACTTTAATGGTAGGACCTTCTTCTATACCGAGTTATGGGAGGTCTCGAATCCGGGTTTTTCCGCGTCGAAGAGCTAGCGACCAAAAGCCGCGATTGTTTTAGTAGCGTTGTCCAGTACTGCAACATCAGCTTTCTTGCGAGTTCAGCCGCGATCTGCAGGGTCAAGATCATACTCACTTGCTTCAAACATAACACAGACAACCGGCCCTACGATATCATTATTGCACGCGAAGATTCCCTTCCATTCTGTCCGGTCAAATCGCTCCTCGAGTATTGTCGGTTACTGGGCAATCAGCCCGGGCCACTTTTCTGCTCTCCTGATGGTAGCCCTATTACTATCATCCATTTCAATTCTGAGTTACGTCGTTGTTTAACCTTTTGTGGACTCGACCCTTCTCGATATAAAAGTCATAGTTTCCGCATAGGGGCCGCTTGTCTTGCCGCTGAGAATGGTCTCTCCGACGCTCAAATCCGGGCTCTTGGTCGCTGGAAGTATGACGCGTTCAAGCTCTACATTAGGTCGGGCACTTTACATGCTAACTAATTTCGTATTTGGGGATGAATGAATCATTATGTAGTTCAGACATGGGCTGCTACGCTCTTCCTGTTCTTGCGTGCAGTGCATTCGCCTTAGCGTAGTTTATCAATTGTACGGCTGTCAATTCCTAGTTTGCTAGTTTTCGTTCGCCTCATATTTTTNTACACAGCTTTATCGTTTTCATGTGGAACGTAACGATGGTCAGTCATGGGTTCGCATCGTTACGATTCTATTAGGTTTGTTCTATTAGGTTTGTTCTATTAGGTTTGTTCTATTAGGTTTGTTACCGTTGATCTCCAAGCTCTGCGGTCGTCTTGGTGGGGTTGCCACATTCTTGTGGCGGTGGCCGATATTTAACCCCACCTTTGCTTAAGAGATTGCGTGATGTTTATTATATCAATGTTCTTGATGTGGGGTGAAATAGAAGCGTCACTACCGTAGCCAATTTATACCACATTAGCAGTTATTTTTATCTCCCGTCAATCTCGTCAGCAAACTAGCGCGACGGCACGCAGAGCTTCGGTCCCGTTTTAGTGGAGATACGCGGGTTTCATGATAAAAGTATTTTTTGCCAAAAGAGGGCTAGATATAAGAGAGGAACAAAAACACACGAAACGTTGATTCAATGCGTCGAATTGCACGCCAATGCCATGATTAGAAAGGCTGCCATAGCTACGAGTGACACCAGAATCATCGGTCTGGCCTCTCATGATTTGGTAGCAGCTGAGGCATGGTACCACCGCCAGTGTTATCGAGATTATACTCGGCCAGAGAAAGTTAGCCAGTGCTCAGTCGTGGAAGTTGAATCTACCTCGAAAGAAATCAGTTATTTTAATATCGAATCGCAAAGCTTTCTAAAATTGTTCAAGTTTATGCGAAGCGATGTATTAGAAAGTCCAAGGCTTATCAAGATGGTTGATCTCAGAGAGAAGCTGACTTCCTACATATGATCAATGGGCGTTACTGAAATACTCGAATCCACACAGACACATTTTGGAATAAAGGTGGAAACAGAATTCGGGGACCTATCACAATCTGAAGATCTCCTGGATGATAGGAAACTTTTTGTTTTGCTCAAAAATCTTTCCAAGGCTCAACTGGCTAAAGACATAGTAATGTTATCTCAGAAAGTAAACAACAGGAATTCTCCGTCTCGTCTTCGCAAATTCAGCAAGCTGGCCTGCACGTTCGTAATGCAGTTCTGTCAGATATCACTGAGATGTCATGACCTCCGAAACCTGGTGAGCTATGTGAGAGTGCAGTAAAACTTCCAGAAGAACTAGATGCGTTTCTATACACTCTGTTAACTGGTAACACAGAAATTCCAGCGGAATACCCTGATCGCATTTGGCGCCTTGTTAACTCTTTTGGGCAAGACATCATATACGGAGTTAATGGAAAACGACAGAAATCATCTGAGCAAATACTATTACCGTATGCCGTGAAATCTTTGACGAAAAATATTCAAATTATCCAGATGTTAAACAGATGTGGGCATGGTATCGCGTATTCGCAAATTGAGGAAATGAACACAGCACTTTGCCCTCAAAAACTGGCCTTGACGCCTGTTAATGACGTTCCTTTGCCTGAAGCTATCCAGCCATATATCAACACAACACTCGCGTGGGACAGTATCGATAGACTGGAGAAAACTCTTTCTGGTGCGGGAACCTCGCATAGAGTAGATGGGGTTGCTGTTCAAGCCAGGCATATTGGTCCAAACCTACCTCCACCACCTGGAATCATTCAAGCTTGGATGAGTAAAAGAAGCATTGATCCATCAGTAAGCTCGGTTGTCCCTCCGTACAATGCTGGTGATCGTTACGGTCTTAGGGCAGGACTGTTCGTCAAGGTAACTGATGAAGAAATCTTGGCGGAGGCAAAAAAGACGAATTTGATTTGGACCTTGATGCGACTCCATGCAAAAGAGAAGCAAAAAGCCGCTGGCTAGATTAAACATTTAGGTCGCGAGAATAAAGAATTAAAGAACTGTTGATTTTAAGTTCTTGTCAGTACAATATTACCAGCACCTGCAGTTCTTCTTGAGTTTCTATCCTGTTCCTGTGCAAGATCGTGCACCGATATGTGTCGGCCTCGAACTGCAACAATCGTGCAGAGGAGGAGGAGGTGTATGATGACGATTTCTCTGAGGACGATGTGGATGAGGCTGAATATTAAAACTCCATAAATGAGACATTCGTTAGGTTTAAAAGTTTTTATTGAGACAATCATAAAATTATCATTCTTCTATGAAATTGGGTTCTCTGGCCAATTTTTAAACTTTAATTACTGCGATTTTCAGACATTTCGTTTTGGTTCGCGTCCTCCTTAACCTCAAGAGGGCTTTTGAAGATTAAATTATGAGTTCGTTTGACTTAAAGGGGCAATGCTTTCAATTTTCACTCAATTTCGTCTTATTATATGTTAGAAGAATTGTATCTTAATATCCAATATGGCGTATCCAAGATGGCGCACGGATGTTAATGAAGATATATTGTCTTTGAAGCGACGGCATCTAACTTAACTATTGGCTATGCATATGAGTTGTTAGCTTTTTCTTTCGTTTGGCGAACATTTTGTGAGATTAGACATTGATCAAAAAAGTTTCAGAATTTTACGCTTATACCTCAGTACATTTTAACGCTTCCATGAAAAAAAACATCGTTGAAACTCAAATAATTTTGAACTCAGAAGTTTTAAAACTCATCTGAGAGAAACCTCTATCATTTTCGTACATAAAATACCCTTAAAGAACGGTTAAAACGCTTGCAAAGAATACTGTTTGGCAGTTATAGTTTGTTTCCTGTCAATTTTGTCGAAAGGAGTGACGTCACTTGATCACGTGATAACACCTGTTCAGCTACTCATTGGGCACTGCTATTATACATAATATTAAACTAGAGTAACTGTAGTTTTAAAAAATGTATGACAGCATTTGTCCCCCCGAGTGGTAATGAAAGGCCACTTTTGGGGCCCTGGCCCATGGACTATTTGCATTGCGAATCATCATGAAACTATGACAACAATATTAGATAGGCGTAACCGAAAAAGCACGGCTTAGACTTTCGTCCAATTCATCCCATCAGTTCATTTGGTTTATTTGAAATTGGGTTTAGAATGAACATTTTGTAGGAGTGAACATATTTGTCAAGAGCTGTAAGAAAGGACAAAGAAGGATAGAGGCCTCAATTTACGGGACGGTACAAAACGTAAACCACCCCTTCTGGACCCCCTTCTGGACCCCTTCTGGACCCCCTTTTGGAACCCCTGATGGACCTCCTTCTGGAACCCCTAACTAGATTAAGAAAGGATGAAAACACTAAATATCTGGTGCGACTTAGGAGGTCGTCATCAAAGTGGCATTTTATGCTACAACCATTTGTCATAGTCTACAAAAAGTGCTACTAGAAATGTTAATTCTCCCGTGTGCTATCGTGGGTGCCATTTTGTTTATAAGTTAGAGTGGAGACCTCGGCACAAGGCTACAGGACTTCCGGTGTTTTCTCTGATCAGCCGCTCCGATCAGATTTTTTCCGCCATTTCGATTGCATCATCTCATATCCTTGGCTACCACCACTGACCAAAAAAATTGTGGTCATCCATACACGGAGTTCTATGGTGGAATGTTGAAGGTAGTGTGTTTTTTTTCGCATTTTGTAAGCAATCTCGACATTCCTGAGGTCATCGATAAACAATCACGACATTTTCTTGCCAAGCAATCACACACCTTACAATATTCCACCATAGAGCTCCGTGTATGGTGACCACAATTTTTTTGGTTAGCGGTGGTTGCTAAGGACATGAGATGATGCAATCAAAATAGTGGAATAATCTGGTCGGTCGATCAGAGGAAAAGACCAGAAGTTTTATAGCCTTGTGCCGAGGTCCCCACTCTAACTTAGAAACAAAATGGATTCCACAATAACACACGGAAGAATTAACATTTCCAGTGGCACTTTTTGAAGATTCAGGCAAATGTTTGTAGCATGAAATGCCACTTTTATGACGACCTCCTAAGTCGCACCAGGTATTTATTGTTTTCATCCTTTCTTAATCTAGTTAGAGGGGTCCAGAAGGGGGTCCAAAAGGGGGTCCAGAAGGGGGGTCCACGTTTTGTACCGTCCCTCAATTTACGGTAAACTAAAACGAGAATTGACTTTAGTAAACAGCACGTGGCAAGTGCATGTTCTAGAAGTATTCAGCATCTTATGGTCTTATGTTATGATCATTCCAATCGAGGACTGAACCAGATGCAGACAGAAGTAAAATCCAAGAGTTGCCTGTTTAAAACGGAAACTGAACTTGTTTGTGGTGCCACTACGCTAATAGAAACAAAATGCATAAGAGATGTCTATGAGCCCTCACAAGTTGACCACAGGCTTTTTATAGCAAAACTAAATGACACATGTTTTGGTTAGGTTCCGGCTGTCATATTTGTGCCCCTCAGAGGGACACAAACATGGCGACTCCATACAAAGCCTTATGGATTTGAATAAAGCATTTCTTGGAATGTCTCCTGCACGAAACATCGCACAGACCTGAATCATTGCGAGACTGTTTCATTATCATCTTCTTTTATCTCCTTGATTCTTGACTTTTTTTTGATTGGTTTTGATGATGGTGCAACGGTGAAAACCGACAATATCAATGGAAGAATTTAGTTACAACACTAAATGTATAACTGGATCGAATCTCTAATGTACTTGTGAAAGAAGCGAACAAATTCTGGGAAGAAGCCTTGGGAAACTTATGCGACTCATCGCACGATAACAACGGAGCCTCGTTTTTAGGGCCTATCACCTCCTTTTGGGGAGATAATTCCTAAGTAAATTAACGGCCACTCCAGGGAATTGTGCCACCTAAAAACCTATGAAGTTAATAGAATCCCCAAGAAAAGCCTACTTCATTATCTTGTTATGGCCTATGGCCTTCAGCAAGCGTGCAAGAAAAAAAGTTGTGAATTATTATCATTGCCTAGAAGGTATTTGCTTTACTTGAACAAAAGTGATGTTCTGATCGCCCGAAACATGCTTACCAAATGATCCTTATCTATTTTAAGTTACATGATACTCAAATTTTATCATCTATAACCTTTCTGACATGAGCACTTTTTATCTTTGAATAAGATGTCAAAATACAACTTTAATAAATCTTTTAGAAAACTGTGTGAGTGCTTGTAAAAAAGAACAAAGTATAAAAAATAAAATTGTAAACATTTTGCTAGAAGTGGGCCCCTTGAATAATGAATTAACATAATAAGTCCATTCGCAGCGTTTCGTTAATCTTTATCTGAGTTCAGTGGCTCACAGCCACTTTGATTTCTTATTTGAAAATATTTTATCAACGCGTAAAATGACGCATTTCTAGAGCTCCTTCAAGTGATCAAAATATCTACGCAAAAGACGGATTCAGATTAGTCCATTGATCCTTTCCTAACCACAGAGGAAGTGTGGGGACAAAACTCTTCTTAATAGGGGAGGTAAGGAGGGATAGCGTCGCTCAAACTCCTTCCCTCGGATAGCAAGCTGTGTTGTTTACTGATTCCTGGAATTAAAAATTGTTATTGTAATATTGTTTCCACACCTCTGGCTTTGCGAAAATAAGGGCACATGATTGAAGTCTTCGACTATCTTTTTTTTTTACTTTGTTTCCTAATTGCGGAAGCGTTTTGTCTTCATTTCCTTATGTTAAAACCTACAGAACCTCTATCTACTGATATGCTTTTTTTCAAAACTATGTCAGTGTATTTCTTACATCCTATTTAGAGTTCAGTTCAACACGAGAAGAGGAATTTCACATCTCCGCGCGTTCATGTAATATCCTCAAGGTGTCAATTGTCAGGCACGCGGTTTGATTTTCCAAAGAGGAGCAGGACAAAAATACTCCTCTCTTAAAGCGAAAAATACTCCTCGGTCCAATTTTTCCCTTGTCCAGGAATGCTCGTCTTCCAGATCGGTTTGTAGTCACTGTACTGTCTTATTTGTCAGTCTGCACTATAATGTTTTTGACCTAGGTGATCTTTTTATCTTTCAGTTTCAGAAGACAGCTCTACAAACAGCTGGTCGTAACAATCGCCGAACCATAGTTGACCTGCTTGTAACGAATAATGCGATTCCCAGTTACAATCAATCGGTACGGTAATAAATAATCTGGATATATCAACAAAGTTGAAATGGTAAATTGGCCACCGTAACGATTACAAAAGCTGACGTTTCGAGCGTTATCCAGATTATTTCGTTACTCCCACCGACGCAGCCCCAAACAGCTTCTTTCGAAACTATCAGCCTTTATTCATTGGTACGGTAATAAGGTGTGCTACTTCCATGATTTGTAACCACACAGATTGGGAACTGGTTAAGTCATTTTGGTCAAGGAAAAACTTTTTTTCACTTACATTGTTTATTTATGGTTCCTTATAGCTTTAAAAATTTGTAGAAGGTTCAGATTTAACTTCGATCTGCCTTGACGAGTTCGACCGTCTGCGTCCTCATGTGCGTGGCGTGATTCGTCTCTAGAGCCCAGTTGTTCAAAACGCAGAGAACGCTATCTAACAGATAAATCGCTATCCAGCGAGAAAACGTACTGCGCCATTCATCAGATGGAGATTTATCCTTTGGCGCGCATTTCTGAGCAAATATGAGTCGAAAGATTCTTCCCGATGAATGTGTCGTGTCTTTTAGTAGTTTTGAACTCCTTTTGCTTTTTTTCAATCATTTGGGTGATTGTTGTTATTTCTTTCAAATAGAAAACTTATTAAGAAGTGTTGTATTGATCTCCAGAGGGTGTGATCCAACATTAGCAAGTCGTGTGATCTCAAACAAGAACTTTTAACTTACGGACTAGATCATAGTTTTAAATCTAGGTGGAACTCGTTTTAATAAGTCAGTATTATATCAGTCTTGTGCTAGTTTTTCGTTTTTTGCGATGATTTACTGTACATTATCTTTCATTACAGCCTAGCCTCAGGTCCCTTTCAAAAAAAGCTTTCCTGCAAGTAGATGCACGATCCGGCTTCAATGCGGTCTGCACGCGGCTGTATTTCATGGTGACTATGACACTGTTTTGAAAACTCATGTCTATATTGATAACTATGTGCAAGACAAGAGTTTTCCAAAAACAGGAAACCAAGCAAAGGCTTTTCCGGGAAAAACTGGGTTAGAAATTCTCTTGGCTCTGCAAGAAAAGGGAGAAGGAAATGTTGAAATAGAAAAGCTGTATAAAGAGATCGTTGAGATAATCGATACGTTAACTGAGCTGCACCAATGCAAATGCGAAAATGATGACGAAGGCTGTGGAGATTGTTCTAAACGAGGGTGTAGATATAAATATACTAGGAAAAAGCAACCGGACACCGTTGCTGTGTGCAAGTCTATCATCCCCTGGTGAGTTTATCCAGACCCTTATTGATCTTGGAGCTAACGTTAATGCCCAGAGGACAGACGAGAAGGCTGCAAACGGATGGACTCCATTGCAATGCTGTGTGAGCAATGGATTTCTGAGTATATCCCAGCTTCTGATGGATTGCGGATGCGACATTAACTTGCGAAACAAGTTTGGAAAAACCTCACTTTACTTGGCCGTCAAACTGGAACATAAGCACTTAGTCAAATGTTTACTTGAAAGCAACGCTGAAGTGAATATGAAATACAAGGAGAATGCAAAGCATAGAATTTACTTTGTTCGTGGAAAGAACAGAGGAAAACCAGTCTGGCATTATGTTCTTGTACAGAAAGCTCGTTTTCCCGTGTTCTTGAGGCGGACTGAGGATGGAAGTCTCGACGTTGCAGACATACTTTGAGAAAGTCCTCGAATCTGGATGGGGAAAGGATCCTCCTGAGAGCATAAGAGAGGAAATTAGAGAGATAGCAATCACCTTCCATGACATACACAGCCTTACCGTACTTCATTTTGCGAGCAAGAATGGTAGTCCCGAGATTGTAGAACTGCTGGTAAAAGACAATGCTGACATAAACGGATGCGATGAAGATGGCTTCACACCTCTGCATTTAGCAGCGATACCTGGTAAAGTTCAAGTTGTAAAACAGCTGATTGAACTCAACGCCGACGTCAACTTGAAAGTGGGTGGAAAGGATGCGATTGACTTGGCTCATATGAACGAAGAAACAGAAATTGAGGAATTTCTCAAATATAAGAGAAGCTCACCCTCAGAGGAGTCGGACGTTTAATCGGTGCAAAGTCAGTCGCTAGACATTTTAATTTACCTAATCATT